TCAATCAAAAAGTATATAAGTAAGGTTTCTTGTGCTTGAAATAAAACAGAAGTAAGTTGAGTAAAATACTTCGAAGACATAAAACTCCAATAGTTTTTACTCATCGTAAAGTTCATATGCAATGCTCGTTGACTTTTAGCTCTTATAAGATAAAATCACCATTAAAACCTTCTATACTATCAATTTTCACTCAGAATAAGAGAGAAAGAGAGAGAATCAATTAGTGATCCAAAACCTCTTTTATAACAAATTAACAATTGATTAAACTCTGACTACGTTATTGTTACCTCTAAATCGAAACTGCAATAAACATGTGATTCACATGACAATCATTAAGAATCTTAACGATTGTATCGAAGACTGGAACCCCAATAAGTCAAAACCTGAAAGAAAGCATTATTTTTGACTTCTAGCTAAAGCCTACAACCAAGTAATCAAGATATAATTCAAAGATTATACTTATTTGAAATGCTAGTATCGCTGCAGCAAGACTCGAAAAGACCTTGAACAATGCTACCAATTCAAGGTTAATTTCTATTCTAAAAAAAATTATAATTCAGCGGTTTAAGAGTTTAGTCAAAGAGAACCAATCAAGTTCTCAAAGAACCAACCGGGTCAAAGAGAAAGAAAATTTCAAAATCCACCCATAATTCTATTAGATTGGTCGAATAAAGAGCCAACTAAAATGTGTGTTATGTGCTCTACCCCCCACACACAACTGTTGTAATCAACCAATATCCAGAGTCATGTTCATAGAATTAATATTTCTATTCTAAAAAAAATCATAATTTAGTGGTCAGAGTTTGGTCAAAGAGAATTTCAAAAATCCAATCAAAGATCTTTTAGTATGCACCTACCCAGTTACCCCTTAGTATAATCAGTAAAAAGAAAAAGAATAGATTTGAACTATTAAAAAACTTATAGTATAATTAAACATTGCTCCATGAAAAAAAAATCATTTAAAGTAATATCGGCACTCAAATCTTATAGTGGCAAATTAAATATTGTCTCCATGAAAAAAAATTATTATCTAAATATGTGACTTTCGTCACAATACTCTTAATTAACTATTATAGGGGTCTGACCTCTTAATATGATTAGTAAAAAGGAAAAGAAGACTCTTATTATATATTTAGCATAATTAAACATTGTCTTCACGAAAAAAAACCATATCCCTATTCTTATTTAATTAAGGGTCCAATCCTTTATATTCAAATTTTTTTGATATTTAATCGATCACAAATGATCAATAATTTTTTTTTAAAATAGAGTGGTTCTGAATTAAATTTAATAATGCAGGGCTTTTTTCTTAATAATATGATCATTAACATAGGAGAACACAAAGTAAAGTTTTTAATTATAAATCTTCAAAGCTTTTTTATATTTAAATATGCTATTTGTTAATTTTTTTTACATCTTATCAAGTTCAAATAGAAAATTTAAAAAGATTTTTATTTAAAATTGTTTTTCAAGATATACCCAAAAGAATTTCTGAATTTATTGATATAAACAAAAATGATAAATGTTGTATATGCTTAGATTTTATTAGTCCAACACTTCAACAATCTTTCACTATCTTATCATGTCGATATTTTTTTCATAAAAAGTGTATTAGTAATTGGACTAATAGTTCGGGACTTTTTTGCTCTCTTTGTTGAAATGAGTCAGAAGGCTCTACTTCTACTTCTATGGATTCAATTCAATCAATAAATACACAAAATTTTTACCTTCTACACCAATTATACCTATCCCTATGTCTAGTTCTATGACACCTAATAGATCTACTATAGCATGACGTAATAGATCTACCACAACACCTGCTACCACAACATCTGTGAGATTCACTACAACACCTGCGAGATCTACCACAACACCTGCCACAACACCTGTGAGATTTGCTAGATTAACCATTACACTTGGATTAACTTTGGCTACAGCACCTATCTCATCATTATCAATAGCAGCCACATTGCCAACTTCATCTGCATCACCAACTTCTTCTAAGGTAGTAAGTAAAGTAGTATGGTACAGTGATGCAAGTTAGTATGGACGTACATAAATTTTAATAGTACGTACGTTTATATACCAAGAATTTTTTCGTACTAGTACGTACGAATATTTAAAATTTTTTTATACGTACATACATGCTTTTTTTTAATGTATAATAATTTAATTATTCAGCATTTATAAAGTATACACTTAATATTTCAAAGTGACAAAATAAACAGCAAAGTAAAATTATACACTAATATAATACAAGTTTAGTATTATAAAAAACAAAACATGTTTAAATTATTAGTGCCAATTAATGCATTTCTAATAATTACAGTACTTTCAATTCTTACTTGCATTTTGCATTTAAGCTGTCAATTCGATGAAAGTAAAATTCAAGATAATTGCCGGATTAAAGTAAACCCAAGCTTATTTTTAATTGCTTGTTCTGCAATTCAATGGCTTCCACTTCTGCAGCCTTTATTCTAAGTTTCATTTGACGCTCCAATAAGGACATTTTTCTTTCTTCTAGCTCAATGTCTTGAATTTCATCACTCTTATTATTCAAATTAGCAATAGGATTTATTTCTGCTACAATTTCATTAGTGGCCAATGGATTAGTGTCTTGCCATGATCTTTTTCTTGTAGTATTAACAGGTGATAACTTTCTTTTAGATGGTTTTTTTCCAGATTGAGTTTTTTTAAATCTTGAAGCTATATTAAAATAAAATTAAAAT